GATTGCTCGCAGCCGGCCCAGGTGCTCCTGTTCCAGCGCGTGGCCATCGCCCTGCGGCCGGTCCGCCTGACGGTCGAGCACTTCCGCAAATTCGTCGCCAAGAAGGCCCCGCACCTGGCGGACCTGCTGGCCTTCCTGGACTCGGATCGGTGCACCTTCGGCCGACTGCCCCAGCGGGAGAATGCCTGGCCCGGGCCGGCCGTGGCCTTCGGGTGCTCCCTGGTGCAGGGGGCCTCGCAGCTGACCACGGTGGCGGCCCTGCGCTCGCCGCGGCTGCTGGCCGGCGTGCTGCCGGCCATGGGCAGCACCGGCAGCAGCAGCAGCAGCAGCAGCACCTCCGGATCGCCAGTGGCCCCGATGCACCCGCTGGCCGGGCTGGACCCGGCGCCGGACGCCCCGGACCCCGGGGTGTGCCACACGCGCTGGGTGTCGACGGTCTTCCCGCGGCAGTTGGAGCCCGGGTGCGCGGCGGTGCGCTTCCGCCGCCGGCAAAACGAAGTCCTGGCCACCATCGGCAGTGTCATGCGGTGCGTCGGCCTGTGTCGGTCACATCCGCGCGCGCGCGCACACACACACACACCCGCACGCTGTGTTCCTCCGCTTTCCCTGCTCCCCCCCCTCCTTCGCCCCCCTTCGCCCCTTCCTCTCGCTTGCGCCTTCTTCCCTCTCTGCATGCAATGCATGGCTCGCGCCCTGACCGCCGCATGACCGGGCCCCCCTCTGTGGCGCCGGCAGAAATATCTCCCCCACCGGGCTCTACCTGGCCGTCAACCAGGTGGCCATGAACCAGTCGCTGCTGATCACCGGGCCCCGGGGGTATCCCGGCAGCACGGTGTCCATGTGCGTGGCGTCGGCCGTCATCTGGCTGCTGGTGTCCAATGAGCCGGCCCTGGCCGGGGTGTCGCTGCGGCGGCTGCTCGAGGACCCGGGGTCGGTGCCGGCGGGGGCGCGGCCGCGCGGGGCCTCGGGCTCCGGCGGGCCCGGCCCCGGGTCCGGGTCCAAGCCGGCCGGCGTGCTGGCCCCGGATGCGGACCCCACGCTGCAGGCCACCGGCCTGATTGCGCCGCTGCGGTACTCCATGATCTTCGTGCCGTCCATCCACTACACCGGGCTGGCCATCGTCAACTTCCTGTCGTCCATCCTCCTGGCCACGGCGCACATGGTGTACCGGGTGCCGGGCGGCCTGGACCCGGACCAGCTGGACGACGAGGACCCGGATGACATGGGCCTCGGCCGGGCCCGGCATGTGGGCCTCGACGGGTCGGCCTCCGGGCAGGTGCAGCTCCCCACCGACTTCGGCATGGCCACCGACTCCGGGGAGGAGCGGGACCCGGAGGAGGAGCAGGAGGAGCAGGAGGCGCACGAGGAAGACGGCGAGGACGAGCCGAGCCCCGGGCCGGGGGGGGCCTTCGGCAGCCGGGCCGGGTCCTCCTCGGGGCTGGCCTCGGGCTCGGGCTCGGGCTCGAGTCTGGCCTCGGGGCCGGGGGCCGGGCCCGCGCCGGCCACCCTCTCGCCCTTTGCCCTGCTGAGCGACCTGCTGCCGCTGGTCCCGGTCAATCGGGCCTTCGATGGGGAGGAGCAGCCGCTGGCGCACTTGGACCTGAGCAGCCGGCACTTCCTCGGGGTGGACAATGCCCAGGACTTGGATGCCTTCGGGCAGCAGATGCTGCTGAGTGACCTGCACGAGCGCCAAGTGGCGCGGGCCTTCGGGTCGACCGGGGGCCCGGGGCGCCGGCCCGGCGACGGGCCGGATGCCGCGCCGGCGTCGGCCTCCACGCCGGGGCTGGCCGGCAGCCCGGCCATGGCCGCCGGCGGGTCGACCACCGCCGGCAGCCTGGCCACCACCATCACCAACTTGCCCGGGCGCCTGTACCAGTCGGTCAGCGCGCTGAGCCCGAGCGGGTCGTCCAGCCCGGCGCTTGGGCCGGCCGGGGCCGGGCCCGGGCCGGGCCCGGGTCCCAGCCCGCCCATGAGCCTGGCCTCGCTGGAGCTGTTTTGGGAAATCTCCAAATACCTGCGGGACATGGGGAATGCGGCGGCCACGGCGGCCGGGACCGGGCTGCGCCTGGCCGTCGACCAGTTTGCCTCCTGCTCGCCGGTGGCCCTGCAAGTGTCGCCGCACTTCCCGAAGCTGTCGCCGCCGGTGGCCGACTCGTCGACCGGCGGCCCGCCGACCAAGCGCGCCCTGCTGTCCTTCTTCCTGGACCGGCACTTCCGCGCGGCCCCGGAGCAGCTGTACCCCTGGCTCATGTCGCTGGTGGCGCAGCCATCCCTGTCGCCGCACAGCTTCGTGTGCAATCGCCTGGTGTTCAGCCTGCGGTATGGGGCCCGGGTGCTGATGGCCAGCAATCTGGGCCTGGCCGAGGATTGCGTGCGCTTTGTCACCCCGACCGGGCGGCTGGTGGACTCGCCGCAAATGCAGGCCCTCGCGTCGTTGCCCTACTCGGCGCCGCTGCAGTCGCCCTTCGGCGGGCTGGTGATCGGGGCGCCCGGGCCCCGGGGGTCGCCCTTCGGCGGGCTGGGCGCCCCGGCGGCCGGGGCGTCGGCCGGCGCCGGCGGCAACCCGATCCCGGGCCAGTCGCGCGGGGCCATTGCGGTCATCACGCCGGCCGGGCTGCTGGCCGGCCGGCCGGGGCCCGAGCCGGCCGAGCACGACGACACGGCCGAGGCCCTGCTTGTCCAGTCGCTGACCCTGTCCGGGCTGTTTGACTCGTCGGATGGGTCGTGCCCGGGGTCGTCGTGCTCGAGCCCGGGCCCGGGCGAGCCGGCCCCCGGGCCCGGGCGCCGGTCCTTCGCCAGCGACGTGGCCAGCATCGAGGAGCTGGTGGAGCTGGTGGATGTCGGGGTCCTCGGGCCGGGGGCCGGGGCCTCCTCCGGGCCGCCGTCGTCGTCGTCGTCGTGCTCATCGTCGCCGCTGCTGCAGCAGGCCCTGCGCGCGGGCGGCCTGCAGCCGGAGCCCCTGCAGTCGGAGGCCCCGGCCCCGCGGCCGCGGTCCGCCTCGCTGCGCGGCGGCAGTGGGCCCGGGGGGCTGGTGCGGCCCGGCTCGGCCGGGCTGTCGCCCCTGTCGACCCTGCCGGCCGGCGGCCAGCACCACCACCCGGCGGCGGCGGGGGGGCCCTACTCGCCGGTGTCGGGGGGTGCCTCGCCCGGGGGCTTCAGCCGCATGTCGGCCCCGGCCATGCCGCTGAGCATGGCCGGCCCCGGGGCCGGGCTCTCGGCGCTGGCCATGTCGCCGGTGCTGTCGTCGCTCCTGCCGCGGCCCCCCTCGCCGGGGCTGGCCCCGGTGGTGGTGGCCCCGTCCATCTCCTCGCCCTCGGCCTCGCTGATGCGGTCGTCCTCCAGCTTCCTGATGACCTGTGTGCCGGGAGCCGAGGGCCAGGCCGGGGGGCCGGCCGGCCCGGCGGCGCCCACCCTCTCGCCGCTGACCGGCGAGCTGGTGCCGGACGAGGCGGCCAAGCCGGCGCCGGCCGGCCCGGCCCCGCTGCTGCTGCTGCAGCGGTCGCACTCGGCCATGCCGGCGCTCGGGGCCGCCGGCCGGGGCGCGGCGCGGCGGGACACGCCGGGGCCCGGGCCGGCCGGCAAGCCCCCCGCGGCCCGGCCCCCGGCCCTCGGCGGGCCGCTGGTGTCGCTGGTCGGGGCGTGCCTGTGTGCCTGCTGCACGGTGGCCCTGGGCCCGGAGGCCGGGGAGGCCGGCCCGGCGGCCGGGCTGGCGCGGCTCTGGGTGGCCGAGCTGCTCGGGGCCCGGTGCGCCTTCTGCCGGCCGATCTTCTTCCAGGCCGGCGACGCGGCCCCGGACCCGGGGCACACGCTGTTCCCGTGCTTCCAGCTGGGGCTGGCCGGGGCCGGGGCCCTGGGCCGGGCCCTGACCAATCCGGTGGACACGCTGCTCCGGTCGCGCGCCGGCCCGGCGGCGGTGGACTTCACCGAGCACCTGTTCTTGAACTTCGAGCAATTCAGCCGGCAGGTGGCCCGGGGCAGCCTGCTGGACCAGGCCCTGGTCCTGCGGCTGCGCACCTTCAACCCCTTCGTCAGCCTCATCCAGCAGTGCCTGCTCCACCCGCCGGTGCCGGCCCTCGGCACGGTCACCCTGCGGGCCAACCTCTTCCCGGCCGAGGTGCATGCCCTGCTGCATGATGACCTGGAGGCCGTGGACCCGGAGGAGGCGCCCTATGGCCCGGGGTCGCCGCTGGCCACGCTGGCCTCGCTGGTGCTGTCGTACTTTGGCCACGGCCGGGCGGGGTTCCGGCCGCTGCTGGCCGGCGGCGAGGGTGGCGGCGGCGGCGGTGCCCTCCGTCCGGGGCCCGGCGGCACCGGCGGCACCGGCGGCACCCGGCCGGGGCGACAGTGCTCGGCCGTGTGGCCGGGCGTGCCCGGCAGCAAGCCCGGGCCCGGGGCCCTGCAGCCGACCCTCCGGCTGCCGGTGCCCACCGGGCCGCACCCCCCGCGCGACCCCCTGCACCCGAGCACGGCCGCCCCCGGGTCCGGGCAGCCCCCGCGGCAGTGCTCGCTGGCGGACTTGCGCTTCTTCAGCGCGGCCAATGTGGCCGACAGCGCGCTGCACCTGGTGTCGCTGGTGGCCTGGCTCAGCTGGCTGACCGTGGTCCGGGCCTCGGAGCTGACCTTCGGCTATCTGGCCGGGCCGAATGGCGAGGCGCTGACCCCGGCGGACCTGGTGGCCCGGCTGGAGGTGACGCGCTTCGCCACGCGCATGGAGATGGGGCTCCTGTCGTCGGGCGGGTGGCTGGCCGGGCCGGCCCCCTCCATGGCCGGGCCGCTGGCCGGGCCTGCCTGGTCCGAGTGGGCTGCCGGCGGGGCGCCCGGGCTGAGCCCGGCCGCGGCGGCTGCCTCCTCCTCGGCCTTCGGGGTGTATGCCCCGGGGGCCGGGCCGACGGCTGCCACCACCCCGGGGCCGGCCTCCCCCGGCATCGGGAGCCCCCTGTCCCCGGGGCCCGAGCAGAATGGCGGCCTGGACTATGTGGATGGGGGCGGCCTGCTGGGGGCCTTCTCGGCGCTGCTCTTCAACCAGGACTCGGCCGCGGCCCCGGTCAAGCCGCTCAGCTCGCACAACATCCCCCCGACCTCCTACCTGTCGGATGTGATGGCGCGGTACTCGCCGCAGACGGGGGCGGCGGCGGCGGCGGCGGCGGCCGCGGTGACGGCAGCCGCCGCCGCGGCCGCCTCCTCGGCCGCCGCCGGCCCCACCGGGCGCACCGTTCCCGGCATGCGCTCGCGCCGTCCCGGCCGGTCGGGCGCCTCCTCGGCCTTCCGGGTGCCCGGGTCCGCTGCGGGCGGCCTTTCGACCGGGGCCTCGGCCGGCACCGGGGTCTCGCCGTCATCCTCCTCGGGCTCCCTGCCGGCGGGCGGGGCGTCGGGTGGCCGCGCCGCCGCGGTGGCGGCCAAGCGGCCTGCCGGCCCGGCCGGGCGCGCGGGGCCGCCTGGCCCGCCGGGTGCCGGGGCGTCTGCGCCCCCGGCGCCGCCGCTGCCGGCCGGGGCGTCGGCCTGGCGCCCGGGCCCCGGCGCCCCGGCACCGCCACCACCACCACCGCCGCCGCCGCCGCCGCCGCCGCCACCGCTGCCGCCGTCGGGCCCGGCTGCCTCCGGCGGGCCCGGGTCTCGGCGCCGGGGCCAGGCCCCGCCCGAGGCCGGCCGGCCGACGGCCGACGGCCACCTGCTGCCCTCGCTGTCGATCCTCGGGGCCCTGGGCGTGACGGTGCCGTCGGCCGGGCCGGGGCACCTGGGCGACGCGGACGCCGGCCCGCGGGCGGCCAGGCCGGACGCCGCGTGCCCGGTGCTGTCGAGCGCCGAGGCGGCCAGCATCGGCAGCGGCTTCGACCCGGATGCCGAGATCACGCGCCTGCTGGAGGGGGTCCCCCTGTCCTCGGTCCGGTACAATTTGATGCTGCTGTGCGCGGCGTCCGGGCGCTTCAGCGAGCAGTCGCTGTCGGCGGAACTGGCCCAGGTGGACCAGGCCGAGCGGCACATCCGCGATGCCCTGCTCCTGCGGGCCTACCTGAACAAGGAGTTTGCGGCGCAGCGCGGCGCCTTCCTGGGGGCCGGGCCGGGCCGGGCGGGCGGGCCGGTCGTGTCGGCCCCCGGCCGCCACAGCTCCAGCCCCGCCAGCCAGCCCTTCTTCCAGACGACCATGAGCCTGCGCGAGGCGCTGCTCAGCCCGGAGTCGGTGCCGGATGAGTCGGCGCCGGACTTGGCCGGCGCCGCGGCCCTCGACGACGGCCTGGCCGTGCCCACGGTCTCGGCGTGCACCTGTGCCCTGGACCATGCGGCCGGGCGGGCGACGCCGGCCGGCCCGGCCCCGCCGCGCGGCTTCTTCGCCGACGTGGTCGATCTGTCGGACTGGAATGTCTGGGCCTCCGGCTGGTGTGGCCAGTGGTACGTCGGTGTCTTTGCTGCCGCTCTGCCTCCTCCGCGTTTTTTTTGTGTTTGCTGCCCCCCGGGGCCGCCCGCCTCGCGTGCCCGCC